CATTACAGGCCATTCCCATCTAGTGATAGGGAGAAAAGCACGGCTCCACGCTGCTACATACCCTGTTCACTCAGAGAGGAACACAGACCCAGGTTTGCTTCACGACAGCCTCAGCTGACTATCCCTTGGGAGTCTGCTGTATACTTTTCCAGGTAAATCTGCCCTAATGTTAGTAATTACACTATGTACAAAGTAAAACCAGAGGAAGTGAGGAAGCGAACCAAAACATCTACAGGTCAAATGAAGCAGACCTGAAAAGTCATACAGCAACATGCCCTCAAGCAGCACTTTTAAAACCAAAGAATTGCAGAAAGATAGTCTAGGTTACTGATTTTGCCTCCTTACTGCATTCTTGACAGCTTTATCTAACCTGCTTTTGAAATCCTCCAGTGATAGAGCTCCCGGGCACTCCCAGGTCTAGTGTTCAGCTTTCCCTATGCCTCTTTTCCTTCATGTCTAAAGCCAAGTTTCCCGTGCTCACGTAAGCGGATGGACTCTCAACTTCTCCTCTCAGCAAAATGCAGGAAGAGGGTGGTTAAGGACAAACAGAATTTGCTCATTTATCAGAAGAGAACAGAAACCTCAGACACTTTCTGGAATAGTGCTCTCAGTTTCACTTGGATTTTCTTTTGTTCTTCTTTTAACTTTCAGATAAGGAGGGGTTGTAAATCAGGCTCTCCCGTTTAATGAAATGTTTCTCATAATCTCTCTCCCTCAACTCAAACAAGCCTTCGAGTCGCTTGAAATAACTCACTTTCCAGTGAGCTGTGCTTGTACACACTTTAAGATTGATCACAGTTATATTAACTTTGCTATTACTCCTGCATCCTATACACACTATTTATTAGTTACCCAAAGCAATTTTAGAGATGTTTGATTTTAACTCCAGCTACATCTTCCACGTGTGCCCACGTGACGTCTTTCAATGACAGTAAAGGATAGGCTCCTATTACCACATCAAATACAACAGGGACACTTTCAAAAGCTGGGGAAAATACGTTCCCATTTCAACGTTTGCTCTGTGGAAATCACATCACAAGGATCGACAGGACGATTTCAAGCAAAAGGCAATGGGCCATCGTTTTTAAAAGCAGTGACGCAAGCAGTGACAGGGAGAAGAGAGACTGTGAAAAACACAGCAGTAAAAAAATGTGCCAAGTGCCACTTGCCTCTATATCAGAAATGCACTTCACAGGTTGCAGTTTCCACATTTCTCCCTACACCTCTAGAGAAGATCCACCAAAAGGGCATTTTTACTAAGGGATGGTATTTCCCTGTCTGGAAGTATCTGCTACTTTCTGAGGAGACAGTGATGCTGCTTTCCAGTCTCTTCTGCACAACCCGTAACCCACTCCTAAATCCTCTGCAGCCTTGTGTTGCAATGGGCCCTGAAAAGCTCTGATTTATGGTCAAGGGACTGCTTCATTTTTTCCCGAGGCCTTTCTCCAAAATAGGAGGTGTTTGGCCATGCTCCAAGAGCAATACACCCAGACATAAGGTCTGGCATAAGAATCAGCGCTTGGCACCTGCAGCCCTCTTAGAGATATGCACTGCAAAAAAAGAGGTACAGTTCCAAAGACGAAAATCTCAATATGAGATTTTGACTCTGACCATAATGCAAAATCTCGAGGCAGAATAACTGTTTTCAAGTGCGTCCTGCTAATAAAGAAAATGGCATCCCTTGCCAGATTTGTCAGACGTGATTTGTTTTCTGAAAAGTACTTGCATGAAGAAAAAGCAACTCTTCCGGCACAATGACGGCACTTAATAAGATATATGAGCACGTAACAGGAGAGACAGAGAAGGATCATGATTCCTAAAAGGGCATCACTTGGGAGCTCTGGCAGGGGAGCACAACACGACGCGCTTGTGGGCAAAACTAAGCCGAGATTCAAACACGTGGAGAGTGGAACGAAGACTTTTCCCAGACATACCCTTTATCACAGAGACACAGGTACAACACAAGGCTTCTAAAAACACAGGTGATATTTCACAGAAGTGCTTAACTAAAAGAACTACAGTAATGACAAGTGATGTGATCAACGGCTACCCATTTATAACTGCAATTTGTAAAAGCCTGCTGAAAATCCACCAGAACACAAAATAGCATCTTTTGAACACTAACTTCCCATGTGCTGCTGCAGACTGGCAAAGCCACATCTGAAAGGGTACTGAGTCCTCCTTCCTTGATTCCCCTGGACTCAGCTCACTCCCATAACCATCAAAAAGCATCTGGCAGCTTCAGAGATGCATGTGCTTAGTGACAAATGGTTATTTACCTCCAGGCTGTGTCATCTCTGCATGAAAATTTTAAGAACAAAGAAGAGGTCAGGACCGTGATATATTCACCGCCCTTTTAGTCACCCTCATTGCATATTGGGAAGAGCGATCCAGGAAGCTCATAAGGGTCCGATTTCATAAAATCCTTCTGCAAGTGATCACACTTGCATTTTACTGCTTCATCGATCCTGTAATTTGGCATTACTTTCCAAACTAGTATTGCAAATTGATAGCACTGAGTGCACATGAACGCTTCCAAGGGTGCTGGGTTTGAATATATATATGTATATTTAATCACAGTTCTCCACAGTTCACCTTTTGAAGAAATTTTTGCCCTGACACAGACTGCACCAATAACACTTGGGATAGAAATCTCTTTCTTGTTTACTGATGGTTCCCCAAAAGTGGTAGAGGATCCCTTGGAGGAAAAATAAGGAGGGGAAAACAAAAGCAGCAGCAGCATTCTGGTCTGAGAACTGCCAAGCAGCCAAAAAAGGACAGCAAGTACCTCAACATCCTATTTCTTCTTCCTTTTTTTAAATTTAATCTCAACAACTGATGCCATCAGAAAATTCATGCTCCATGTGCTAAGTAATATAGCTCTTCAGAGCAAATTAAAAGTTGCCTTGAGGAGCTACCTTTTCTTTTAATACACTACTAAGAAGAAAAAATCTCCTATCCTGCCTACCCAATTTTTTTGCCTGACACTATCCTACCAGATAATCTACAGCTGGATTTCCAATCTTACACAAACATCAGCTCATTCAAAGTAGCAGGGCTGCTTTTATCACAGCCATGAAAAAAAAAACCAAAAAACCACTGGTTTATTATAAAGCAGAACATGTGAAAACTCTCAGATGATACTGCACTTCAGCAGCTGAAAAATGAAGTTAAAAGAGACTGCTAGTTCCAGTAGCTGAGAAAATACATAAAATCTTTCCTTCGAGACCCAAATAATGGCTTCAGGAGTTCTGCTTCTTTCATCTCAGAGTATTAATAACAATGACTGCACTTCAATACTTGCATTTGACTATTTCAATAATAATTACACTACCAGGCAGAGCAGGAAAAAATAGAAAGTGAGAATGATTTTCAGACAGTAGAAATGGAAGAATAAAACAATGGAAGAATGGACAAAAGGAAGAAAGAGAAAACAAGAAGTTAAATGTCAAGGTGGAGACCAAAAGAAGGTTCATTTTTTCTCCTAGTGATGCTAAGTAGGAAGATAATATATCTGCATAACAATTTAAGTCACTTTATAGTGATAAAGGGTGAGGTACAGGCCTTGCTGTGTACAAAGAGTCCCGCTATGTATTTATCAGAGAATGTGCATTGATCCAGGTTTATACCCTGGTTCTCAGATGATGATGTGAAATGAAAGGAACCTCTTTTCAAAGCAGCAATTCAACACCTATTTTTTTTGCAATAATGCAGTAGTTAAATATTAATAGCAAATGAACATTTGGATAAGAACCCTGAGCAGAGTGCAAATCTAAAAAGCAATTTCATCTGTTGGCAAGTAAACAGTACGAAAACGCTAAAGGGACAAGTTTATACAATTACTTTAAACGTGAAACCACTGGGTTTATTTGTGCCACCAAGTGTTTTTTTTTAACAGGACTGCAATTAATCTACCAAAGCACAACTGAGGTTTCCAGAAAACATCCCTAGGAATTCATTTGGTCGCTGGTGGGTCAGTTGCATCTATGGGATGCTCCGGTTCATCCACACAGGGTGCCCAAAGTGTCACCTCAAAGCGAGGTCTTATTTGAGTGTTTTCCAGAACTGCAGCACGTTCTGACAAGCTCCCCTGAAGAAGGCTCTGCCAGAGAGTCTTCCTCCAGCCAGTGGCTCCCCTGAACGCCCGCAGGCATCGTGTCCTGCTCTGGGGACACCATGAAGCCCTGAGCATGGCTTTCAGATCTCTCATAACACTGGATTTCTCCCTGCGTCTTCTTCTTCACCATTAATAGCAATACCTCTAATTGGGAAAGCTCAGCCAAAGCTCCTTAATGTTTTCTGCTGGCCCGAGTTGGAAGCAGTCCATTTGCCACACTTTAGGAGGTTTTCTTTTCAAACGTCTCCACTATTTTGGCCAAAATAAAGTCCTTTTAACACATCAGGCATTTTTAAAAGAATCATAACCAAACTGTGAGTGTTCAGCTCTCTAAAAAACATAAATCACAAATTTGTGGAGTCAAATGGAGCTGGAATTCAGTTGGGAATGGTAGGGAACAAACAGGGACAGAGGCAAAAACTGTTCCTACTTCCAGAGCTGCCACCTTTTGGATGCTGAAGTCATGACCCCCCATCACCGATCCTTACACAAGTGCCATTGTTTCCAGAGCAAGTAAATAAAAATAAATGGGAGGTAAAATATATCTCTTAATGTCCAGTACTATTAATAGTCTGCTTTGGTAGGGGTTGTCTTTTCCAGTACTTTTCCTTTGAGAAATAATAAGGGTCAATGTATCTGCAGCATAAACGTGTTTTGTATCACACCAAAATTCTACTTCTTGTTTTCCAATAAAACCCACTTTGACTTTTATCAATGGATTATCTTCCTGTGTTGCTCAACACTGCAACTGCAATAGAATATTGGACTAATTCCTGATGCTATGAGACTTATCTAGCTTATTGAGGACTGGTTAATAAAGCCTAAGACCAATATAAAATAGTGATAGCTGGTTGAAGGCCTTGAACACTTTTGTAACACTTACCTCAATGACTCTTGTTTCAAAGTCTTCATAAGTCTCTGTTGGGAGAAAAATAATGTATTACATTTCAGTGTATTAATTATCTATCAGCACAGCTCCCTGCAGGTGGTGTAATTTTAAAAGGACCTAATTTTTATATAACTACAACTTATAAATTAACCTCGGTATTAAACAGAAAAGGCAACAATTTGAACATACGCATTGAGAGTTGCTTTCTTTTTGAAGAGTCTAAATATATTTTGTAATTTGACTCCATACATTCTCCTTTAGAACATCCGTGAGAAAACAACATACTGCCTTTATTAATAAAACATTTTTCCCATTTCTTTTGTAAAAAACAACATTTGTGAAAAAAAAATAGCTTTAAAAATTCCAGCTCAAATGATGAACTTATATAGTCTCATATAGCTCTTGTTATAATCACAACACTGCTCATTGTAATTAAGAGGTGACAACTGTTAGGCACACTCATGGTGCTACTAGGTACTCTAACCTTCAACCCCAATCAATATCTAATCTTTTAAAGTACTGCATACACAGAGAAGAAAGAGGGAACCAGTATTCAAAGAATGTCCAACTTAAATAACCAGAGTAGTGTATGAGGAGGAAAAAAAAAACAAAACCAAAAACCAAAATAACCCTTTAATTTCCTAAATGGTAAAGCAAGATATAAGATATTTAAGTCCTTTGCTTGCTCATTGCATAGAGCTACGGAAGAGCTGATGAACCTGACCAATATTCTGGCCACAAGACAGGTCTCTCTCCAAACTTTCTTTGGAGGAACCCCAAAACCCCAGCATTTCTGCTAATGCATTTTTGTTCAATCACACTTGATACTTTTCTCAATTCTCTACAGCCACAGCAATGCTATGAAAAATAATTTTCCACCACATGTTATGATAATAAAGCATTTAGGGTTTCCAGTGGCTGCCTTGGATATATGTCGTAGCGATTGTTCCCTTCTGGTGACAAATTCTAGCATTACTTAGAATATTTTGAAGCCTGTATTAGATAATCAATAGAGATTCAAGTAAATTGCAGGTATCTTTTGGTAGTGTTTATGTATGTGAAGTGCCAGAAAGAGGAAAAAACACCCCAAACCATAGCTGCTTCAAATAACCAGGAATCTCACAGTGCGACTCTTTCTTCTGTTTCAATTTCAAAAGCTGCTGGAAAAAATGTCTTGGTAATCAATCAAAACAATTCTAGCATTATTTTTTCCATCCATTGGTAGTTTATGCTTTTGCCTTGCAAAACAAAGATTGCTTCAGCATCACATCACAATCTCAGCATCAGCGGTAGGAAGAGCTGCACTCAGGCGTACGGCACCTTATTCAACTCTAAGGAGCAAACATGTCCTTTCCAAGGCACCAAAAGATATTAAATTTCATGCAAAAATGCTGCAGGTCACGGATGCTGTCAGAAGAACCCATTTTCTCTAAGGTCCTGTTTCAAACTTGATGACTACACAAACGGTCCAATATAAATCGCAAATATCTTTGTTTGCTGCTAGGTAATTGAGAGCACACTTTTATTATTCATCTATATTTTAAAGCAAACTGTTTCCACAGATGCCTTTTTAATGTGAACACAAGGAGTCACCTTTTACTGCTCTCGTGGAAAGAAAAAAATAACAACATTGATTTTTAGATCAGTGGCAGTGCAGTGATATATCAGGATACACAGAATTGATGAAACTCCTCTGTCCTCCGGCTTTTCCAGCTGACCTCACAAACTCCAGCACGGACTTTACATGGAAAACCAGGGTCAGTTAAACACTCGACACATATTTTGTTTGCATGGTCACACTGAGGTTCTGGAGAAAGCCTTGGGAGGTGAAAACAGTGCAAGGATCAAAGGAAAAAATGTCAACCCATCCCTTCACAAGGGGTTGCCTTAGGATTTACACAGCAGCTCCAAAACAACTACCAACACCACCATCTCACTGCAATTTAGAGACCTGTTAATCCGCAGGAAGATCATGGGAGAGGTCACAAATGGCAGCACATATCCCTGTCCCTTCTCTGAAGCCTCTTAGGTACCCATTTCTCTTTTCGTTTGAACTTGACCTGACTACTACAACCCCAACATCGCAAGGCTCCAACATCAATAGCATCAGCCACACCAAAATCAAGGCAAACACTGGAGAGTAAAACTCATACAAGCATAAATGTTGTTTGAAAACAGCTGCCCCTTCTTTTAATGGAATAAACTATTGAAAACGTACTTCAAATTAAGAACAGGAGTCTTTTGCCGAAAGATCGGGACTTCCTCTGTATTCCAGCACCAACTTCACTAAACTATTGAAAACATACTTCAAATTAAGAACAGCAGTCTTTTGCTGAAAGATCTCGAACTATGACATCGGGATTTCCTCTGTATTCCAGCACCAACTTCACAGGAAATTGGAAACAGAATCACAGAATGGTTGGGGTCAGAAAGGACCTCTGGAGATCAAGCAGGGTCACCTGCAGCATGTTCCCCAGGATCGTGTCCAGGTGCCTTCTGGATATCCCCAGGGAAGGAATCTTCACAACTTCTCTGGGCAATCTCTCTGTCCCTACAATTTAACTTCTCAAACCACCAATTTTTCGACTTGTAGGACAGGACTCACTCAGTGACAGGCTGCTAATTCCATCCTCCTGTCAGTTCATGAAATATTTGCTTTCAGGGTAATAAAATGAAATGCAAGGAAGCAGCCATAGCTAACCTTTCATTTATATACTTCAGTATTACGCTGGTATTAAAATACAGTGGCATGTTCTTAAAATTCAAGACAAAATAACTTCCCCAAAGAGATCAATAGTCAGGCTCTCCATAAATCCACAAGATAACTCGTAGGGAAACAACATAACTCAGATGTTACTGTGACATAAGCCACAAAACTTATAAGCCATAAAGCTGGAAAACCTAGGAGAGGGAAAAGAGGGGAGAAGTAGACAGTGAAGGACATGAATTTACAAAAGCAAAAGCTACAAAATATGGCAATAAAACTTCAGTCTCTGTGAACAACAGCACTAACTCGCACTAAAAAGATAATGTTCTCTCTTCCTTACAACCTGGCACGAGGCACACGCGGAATTTTGAATCCAGCTCCAACAGCATATTACCAGAAAATATTCACAGGCAGAAATTCATAAACAAAGCACCAGACAGACTGAGGAGCAAACGTGACTGAAGAAAGATGAGAAACCAACATCATTCTGATTCCGCACATGCAATTCCCCATTTAAGGCTTGTCTTGTTGCAGCTTATGTTCCACGAGCCAAACTCTCACTGGGAGAACATGCTGCCAGCCAAAGTGAACTCTGACAATAATGAACTAAGCCTAACTATTAAAATAGTGCAGGGGTCTTCAACAAACTCACTAAGTTGTACTCAGTTTCAATAAGAGATTTAGATACACAGCATATAAATAAGGAACATCTTTTAGCTACATTCCAACCAGATGTTTTTAACTTGTACTCCATTAAATGAACAACAAAAAAGGCTGTAACGGGTATATTGAACTAAGCAGTAATTTAAAAGATTTAATCCATGTTAACACAGCTTGTCCTTGGGTTTAGCTGCCTTGGTTTATGTATGGGAGTGAGTACAGATAGAGAAATGCATAACAGAAATATAAAATGAACTTTTAACTGCAGGAAAAGTCTGGACCCTGCAGGAAGTGTCTGGATCCTACTTTCTCCTGGGTATGATCAAATAAAACTAGAATAATATGCAGCCTGCTTACCTCCATTGGGACCCGGGTCAGGGGGGTCCAGAAGGACACCTCCCCAACAATGTCCGCTCCAACCGCCTTCTCTCTTAACTTTTAATTTTCTTTTCTTCTCCCACATGTCTCTCTGCTGAACAATTTCAGACTGAATTCTCTCTTGCTCTTCTTTCTTTCGCTGGCTAACTGCTTGGACTCTTCCACTTTGTATCACAGGAGCATTAAGACCAGGCCAGAGCATACCGGAACGTCCTTGAAAACAGCAAACAAAGTAAAAAAAATACTTCTTCTTCCAAACTAAGAACAAAACTCTGCACACAGTGGAAGTCCAATAAAAGGAGTAGTATGCTCCTGTACTTAAACTACATTCTGTGATACAGAATTTATATTTTAAAATACAAACCACCACATCAGAATTTTCTTTTTTCATAAGACAAATACCTCCAAAGCTGTTCTGACATTATGGAAAGAAACAGCAATTTGTCAGTTTATAAAACCAAGAAATACTACAAAGGATAAAGTCAGGACATTTCTTCTTCTTCATAGATCTACCTTCACCAATCTCCTGGCCTCTGTTGAGATTCTTCCTTATCTTCTTCTTCCTTCTCTTTCCTCTTCCTTTCTTCACTCCCGCACCAGTCTCTGCCAAAGCTCCTTTCCATAACTCATCAGCTGTCACTGAAATGAGAGAGCTTTCATAAGTAATGCACAAGCACTGCTTACACTGGAAAATGAAGCCAAACCAAAACCAAATAAAAATCCCTTGCTTGATCTTTGCTGTGGTTTGGTACCGAGCGGGAGGACAACCGCTTGGCTAAAAAAGTAATATCCTCCTGCACACACATACACCTGCTGCAGGTAGGACTCTACTGCCAGCGATGCCTGTGGTAAGATAAGCACCCAGCTGAGCAAGTGCTTTATGAAAGCATATTCAAAAATCAATTTAAAGGCAAACAGTTCAATTCATCCTCCTGTTTGCCCAGCTTATATAAACGGGAAGCTGCACGGAATTACAGAAGGGCTGGGCTTGGAAGGGACCTCTTGGAAGTCATCTAGTCCAGCCTCCCTGCACAAGCAGGGTCGCCTAGAGCACGTTCTCCATGCGCTGTGTTCGGTGGCTTTTGGACATTTCCGAGGAAGGAGACTGCACAAACCTCTCTGGGCAACCTGTTTGAATGCTCTGTTATCCTCACAGTATAAAAACAAACAAAAACCCCTTTTTCCTTAGCGTTCACTTTGATCTGTGCCCTCTGCCTCTCATCCTGTTGTGGGGCACCCATCCTCTTTACATTCTCCCCTCCGGTATTTGTACATGTTGGCCATGTCCTCCCTCAGGCTCCTCCAAGCTGAACAGACCCAGCTCTCAGCCTGTCCTCACAGGAGAAGCTCCAGGCCCTTCGTCATCTCAGGAGCCCTCTGCTGCACTCACTCCAATAGCTCCATGTCCCTCCTGTCCTGGGGAGCCCAGAACTGGACCCTCCAGATGTGGCTTCACCAGGGCTAAGGAGAAGGGGGATTCCCCTCTTTCACCTGCTGACCACACTCCTCCTGATGAACCCCAGGGTACCACTGGCCTTCTTGGCCCCAGTGTACGCTGCTGGCTCATGGTTGACTTCTTTTTCAGCAGGCCTCCCATTACTTCCTCATAACATAAACAAAAACCAACAACTATCTGCTGACACGAGGAGGATGTTGCAGAGACAGCACTGCAGCTGCTAGAGCAGATGAGATGGCTGCCACCAAGGAATCAGCAATTAGCTTTACTTGCAGACCGATGTTATCCTGCGCTTCGTCCAGAGGCAACATTCCTATGACAACTTCCATCTTCGTTTCAGACTGCAGACTGATTCTGCTTTATCCAATTTAGCCATCTGCAAGCACTTCTAACCAGGGGAAGAAAAATAACTCTCCTCCAATGCCTACAGCTTCTCAGCAAACAATTCCACCACGCTTGGCAGATAAACCCACATGAGATGCTGCCCGGGCAGCTGGGGAAGCTCTGCTGTGCTGACAGCAAGGTGAAGACTGGAGCGAGCCAGAGTTTCCAGAGCTGATGCTAACTGCCCCAGCTTATTTTTACATTAAGTTTGAATATAGATGATCTAGGTGTCTCTTTCAAAGGTGTGAACTCCCCTTTTTCATCAAAAATGCTTTTCAAATTGGGAGCATGAATGTAACTCTCTTTTGAGAAGTACAATTGCAAAACAAGTAGTCAGAGCTGAGCATCTTAGAAAGGATGAGGACGAGGCAAGACACACAATACTACAAGTCCAGGAAGCTACAAAATAGCATTCCCATAAGATGGTCAAGAGCAGAATGGCCTAAAAAGTCTAGGAATATTGCAGCAAGCCAAAAAGAGCAAGACAGGTTTCATGTCAGGCTAAACAAGTGGAAAAGTCTGCGGCTTGCAGATAACAGTGACACTTATCACATTTCTTACATGCTGAGTTGCAGGAATTGGATTTGCATCTGCACAGGCTTTATTCTCTGCCCAGAGGAAACAGCTTTCTGAAAACACCCTTGCTTCGTCTGGACATTCAAGTGAACGTTAACGTCGAGATGTTAATGGTAAAAATCACAGTAACTTTACCAAACGGCTGAAAAGCAGCTCCTGAGCAGCCAGCCACAAGCAGAATTCCAGCCGACAACAAAAATAGATAGGTCAATATGATAGATCAATAACTGTGTGCTAAATGCCAAAAGAAGCAGGGGAAAGAGGGGGACAAACTTCACCGCTGCTGGGAGAGCAGGCCCAGGTGACTGGATGTGGCCACGTGTCAGAATGGGAAGCGCAAGAGGAAGCAGCTCAGATCTCACCAGGCCAAGGCTAGTGCAGTCCCTGGGCAGGACTGAAACTCCACCAAAGCAGCGGGAATTCACCCAGCAGGAAAACCTCCGTGCTCAGCAGGCAGGTTACCTCCTGAAAGCTTAATTAAAAAAAAGCACTGGTAGGCAGGTGATGCAGCCAGTTATACCGTTTTTCATGTTTTTAAAGGAGACTGTGAGACTGACGCATGAGTTGGAAAGCTGGCAATCGATCACCCAGACTTAAGCTTCTTAGTTTCTTCAGAAAACATTGTGTAACTGGCAGAATCTGTGTACTTATGATAATGCTGCTGGCCTGGAAACGCATTGCAATAAAGGTGCAGTCCACATGCGTGTTTCTCTGCAGGGTTATTTTCAAACTGTTGCATCTACTTCAGTCTGTGTGGCCTCACCAGCAGTCCTCTGACCAGCATCGAGGCTATGGAGCTGCAGGAACAAGCAGGGAGAGCCCAGAACAGGAAGCACTTGAGCTCGTAACACAGTCAAAAAAAAAAAGAAAAAAAAACCCAACAGCAACAGCTGGAACCATTTCCTAAATAAATAATAAAAATCACCTAATGTCAAAACAGAGAAAGTAGCAAAAGTCACAGAGGAGGGAGATTGCTTTGTACCAAAGGAGACAAGTCAATGCCAGCAAAGATGAGGTCAGGCTGAGACTGGGATTAGCCTCAAGTGCTGCACAAAATCTGACAAAATTAGAACCAGAGAAAAATGTCACATTTGGTACCAAAGTGCAGTTCAGCTAATCAGTCTATAATAATATCATCATGCGTTTGGAAAGCCATTGAATTTCATGAAACACATGAGAAGCCTGCAGGCTGCCAGGCTGAGTTCTTTGTATGATGGGAGATATCAAGCTGATTTAAAAACGAAGTGACAGAAAAGGAAATAGGCTGCAGTCAAGACAATTAAAACGGTGGGGATATTGCTGAAGATGGACAGCCAACACTGCAATGGGAAGAGATAAAAATCAAAATCTGACCATAAGAAGGGTCAATCTGACTCAGCAGCCAAGGATCAAGATGATTGGAGAGCACCCACAGAAGCAGGAGCAAGGCCTGGTTAATGCTGGATGTAACCCCATGAAGAAATGGGCAACACCATAATGCTCTTTACGCTAGCAGAGGTGCCCTGAAGCTGAGAGACAACAACAGGAGTGCAGCCCCTCAGTGAGCCGTGGCCTTACCTTCATTTTGCCTGTGCTCAGTAAAATTAGGAGCTCTGCTCATCCTTCCACAGCTAAAATATCCCCAGCCGTCCCAGGCCGCCACGTTTCCAGACAATTACCAAAGAGCAGAGCTGCTAAGTGAAAAGGAGCAGCTCTGTGATGTGTAAGGTTTTATTGCTGTGGCCTAGAAAAAAATTTCACGTTTCAATTTTGTTGAAAGCACGTTTTATGTAAGCGGATCACCAACAACTGCTAATAATAGGTTTGTGTGACGCCACTCCATTGTATCCTCTACATAAAAGATGGTCGTAACATTCGGAACGGGATGTGGGTTTTTTGGTGAGCTTCCATACTATCCCCCACTTTCAGGAACCAGCCTCAGTGCTTACTTCACCTCAGTGACTCTCAAGTACTCCCAAAAAGCCTTGCTATAAACCACGTCATAAACTGGACTCAATAAACAGTGAGATTTCCTTGTTTCCTGCAAGATGAGAGTTCCCGGCTTGCTTAGACAATCTGAAAAAAAATATGAAAAGGACAAACAACAGCAGGTTGAAAAACTGATGGCAGCACTACTTGCAGATGTAAGTAAATGGGAAAGAAAGGATTAATTTTGTAAAACAACTTTAGACACTGACATTTTCCTCTTATAAGCAATTTTTGCTTAAGGTTTTCTGATGACAGTTGTCTTGCAGCAAAACAGCAGTAGAGAACTGAAGACATTAATATTACTGACAAAATAAAATGATTTATGAACATGTCACAATAAGTGTGCTTACTCCAGTGCACTATTGCCCATAAATGCCATTACATTTACGTATCATTACATCTACTAGCTTAAGAAACTTTATAAGAGCTTTCCAATTGCTAACATTTCCTTCCAGGCTTTGGCTCCAAATATTTATTTTTACTAGCAGATGAATTCTAGGAAGGTATGCTATTTTAACCACTCCCCTCCAAAATAAAAACAGGATTTTGGAAAAAATACGCCACACAGGACATGAAATATAAAACAGCATTTTTAAGGAGTACATGCTGCTTATTTATCCTAAAGCAATTCACAGCTTTGGATAAATGACACAGTCTAGACTCAGCTGCTGAAGGAGCGAACGCGGATCGTTTTCCCAGGGGCAGGTCAGCAGCTTCAGAATCAAATGCTCCTCCAAGGCCGGAGCACCACAGGCCTCGGCATTTTATACTGGAGTGCAGAGGGCATTTCCTTGACCTTGTCTTCTCTAATGATCACGGGGCTTCTCCATCTCCGGAAAGGAGAAGGAGCTCACGGCAGAAAGCTCACACGGCTTCGAAAGCAGCTGAGCAAATTCACGGAAGAAAAAGCCACCCGGAGCTATGGATGCACAAAATGCCACGTCACAAGTCAGCCAAGGCTGGGAGGACTTTGGGAGGAAGCGTTACTCCATGCTCATCCTGTTCTTGCACTTTTTCCACAGCATCTGCTGTTGCTGGAAGCAGCATGCTGGGTTAGATGGACATTTGGTTTGACCAGCAAGGTCATTCTCAAGCTCTTTACACATTCACTTCATTTCTCATTTACTCCTCGAAATCTCCTACACACTACTGTAGCACAATCATATGGTTTTTGGTATCGAATACCTGTTGTTTTTGAGAGGCTTTCTTGAAACAGCAGGATGGACTCCACATTCTTGGGGGTGCAGAGAGGGGG